AAGACCACGAGCTAAAAGAGATCACTTAAATCCTATTCTTGATGATCTTAACCCTTGAATCGTGGCACCGGAAATACAGGCAACGGTGATGTTCAACATGCTAAATTCTATCAGTCAGTTTGGTGGCTTGCTTAATGAAGATGCTAGACAACATGTGCGTGCTTTCCTTGAGGTGTACGACTCGTTTAGATAAAAAGGTGTGCACAAACACGTGCTAAAGCTAAAATTATTCCCATACTCTTTGCATGACCGAGCAAGAGCGTGGTTGAGTGGAGTCCCATTCAGCTCAATGGAATCTTGGACTGACTTATGCAAAAATTTTCTGCTTAGATACAAATTGCCCAATATGCACACCCAGTTCCGAAAAGACATTGCAAGTTTTCGCCAAAGCGTGACGAATCTATGTATGAGTGTTGGGACATATACAAAAGTTTGGTTCACAAGTACACTAACCATGGGTTCCCTAACTGGACTCAAGTGGTCATGTTTTATAATGGTGACAATGCACTTACTCGCATGATGTTGGATGCATGACGAATGACATCTTACTTTGAAAAATCAGCCGATGAAGCCTTTGATATCCTCGATAGGATATCCAATAATGACTATCAATTCCCGTCTGCAAGGCTTGAAATTGGCAGGAAAATATCTGGGGCGTATGAACTTGATAGTAAAGATTCAGTTTCTGCCCAAATTTCTGCCATAACTAACATGCTGAAAAATTTATAGAGTCCTAATAAGGTTAAAGAAGTCAAGGAAACTAACTTAGCATGCATTTCTTCCACGACAACCATCATGAGAGTGAATGCCCAAAAAACCAAGAGACTGTCAATTTTGTGAGAAACTTCAACAGAAACAACAAGCCCTACTCTAATACATACAATCATAGATGATGACAACATCCAAAATTTTCATGGGGTAATCAAGGGAACAACAATAACAATTATGCAAGTAATTTTAATAGGCCACAACAAAACATTTTTGAACACTCAAGTTTGCAACATCAACAGATGCCCTGACAAGGTAACAATTAAAGTAATGCATCTTCCTCAACCTTAAAGCATCACTTCATCAATTTATGGCCTCGACAAAAGATTTCATGGCTTCAACAAAGACCTTGATACAAAAGCACTCATTGACAATAAAGAATGAAGGTGATTTATTACAAAGCCAAGAAGCTATATTACAAAGCCATAGTTAATCATTAAGAGCGTTAGAGAATAAAGTGGGCCAAATAGCCACGACAGTACATCCTTGGCCGCAAGGAACCCTCCATAGTGATACTCAAGTCACTAAGCCTCATGGGAAGGAGCAATACAGTGCGCTTACACTTAAGAGTGGTACTCGAATTATTCTTGATGAATAATTTTGGGGATAGAAACAAGAAATTTCTTGCCAAGGCACTACACATCGAGAATCTGAAGGTGAAGCTGAAATTGCTGAACAAGAAGAACTGCCTAAGGAGAAGGAAAAGGACGGGGCTTCAACAAGTCATCACACTGATGGTGAAAATTATTTACCAAGGTAAAAGTTTCATCCCCACCTACAGCGTATGAAGTCTGGCCTCCACCACCTTTCCCTCAGCGGTTGAAGAAGTATAATGACGACATCTAGTTCAAAATGTTTGTTGATGTCCTTGATCAGATGTATAACAATGTTCCATTACTTGAAGCCATTGAGGAAATGCTTTCATTTTCCAAATTCTTGAAGGACATTGTCACAAAAAAATAGAAAGGTGGAAAGAATAGAAATTGTTTCCATATTGACAAAATATTGTTCGACAATGAGTAAACTTCCACCGAAGAAAAAAGATCCTGACAGATTTATTATATCATGTTCCATCGGTGACAAATATATGGGAAGAGCTCTCTGTAACTTGGGGTCAAGTGTAAATTTGATGCCCATGTCCATATATTTGAAGCTTGGAATGAGTAATGCTCAACCAACCATCGTGATTCTACAACTAGCTAACCGATCACACGTACGTCCCGATGGCAGAATTGAAGATGTGATTGTTAAAGCGGACAAGTTTGTCTTTCTAGTAGATTTCCTCATTTTACATTATGAGGCCGATGAGAATGCACCTATTATTCTTGGGCACCCCTTCTTAGTTACCAGGCGTATTCTAATAGATTTTGAGAAATGAGAGTTCACGATTAGGGTGGCTGATCAAAGCATCACGATAAATATCTTTAACACTCTTAAATACGTTGATGATTATGAAGAATGTCATTACATTGAAGATGTTGATTCAATGGATGAAGTTGGAATAGAAAATTCTGGCCAAGGTGAATTTTTAAATATCGATGAGTATGATAGTCTATGCCAAGAAAAAAAAATTCAGAAGGAAGAGAGTAAAATATTTTGCCACGACGATGTTTTACAACCAGAGGGACACAATAATTTTTTCCAAGTGAAATTATTCTTAACAAGGCATTCAAAGATATTTAGTTCGGAAAAAGGTTTTTGATTGAAGATGATAAAAGATGTACTGAAGATAGAGTGAATGTGGAGTCTGAGGATAATTTATTAGCGAATGAACAATCTAGTTTACTTCAAGCTAGACCAAATATGAGATTTGAACCCCTTGATTTTAATGAACTTGTTCATTCAAAACCTTCGCTATAGCATGCACCTACCTTATAACTTAAATCGTTACCATCACCTTCGCAAGAATGTAGCTTGTTGAATGTTTTGTCACAGCATAGAAAAGCTCTAGGTTAAACTATGGTAGACTTAAAGGGAATCAACCCTACAATATGAATGCACAAGATTCAACTAGACGATTTCCATAACAACTCAGTGGAATTACAAAGGATACTTAATCCGATAATGAAAAAAGTGGTGATGAACGAAATCATCAAATGGTTCGATGCTGGGGTGATCTATCTCATATCTGATAGCTCTTGGGTTAGTACCATTCAATACGTAAGAAGAAACGTGGAGTGATCGTGGTAAAGAATGAAAATGATGAGCTTTTTCCTACAAGAACCGTCATAGGCTGGTGGATTTGTATCGATAAAATGCTTGATCGGTTAGCATGCAAGGCATTTTACTGTTTCCTTGATGGATACTCTAGGTATAATCATATCGCAATAGCACCTGAGGATCAGAAGAAGACCACATTCACCTGTCCATATGGTACCTATGCCTTTAGAAGAATGCCGTTCGGACTATGTAATGCTCCGATAACTTTTTTAGAGGTGTATGATGGACATTTTCTTAGATATTGTGGAGGAATTCATGGAAATATTTATGGATGACTTTTCCATCTCGGGCGATGACTTTGACCGATGCCTTGACAATTTATCTCAAGTACTGAAGCGATGTGAGGAGTCCAACCTTGTGCTAAATTGAAAGAAATGTCACTTTATGGTGACATGTGGAATTGTGTTGGGACACAAAATTTCTCGCCAAGGCATTGAGGTTGATAAAGACAAGGTGAAAGTGATTGAGAATCTGCCTCCACCCACCACTGTGAAAGGTTTAAGAAGTTTCCTAGGGCATGTGTTCATCAAGGATGTTTTGAAGATTTCAAAGGCTTTGTTTCTTTTACTTCAACAAAATCAACTGTTCGTGTTCAATGAGGACTGCCTCTATACGTTCAATAATCTGAAAAAAAGCTTGCCTCGACACCAATTGTTGTTCCACCTGACTGGGACGCCCCTTTCGAGCTGATGTGTGATGCCAGTGACTATGCTGTAGGGGCAGTGCTAGGGAAAAGAAAATTTAAAATCTTCCATGTCATCTATTATGCTAGCCGTACCTTTAATGATGCTAAACTTAATTATACCACTACTGAAAAAGATTTGCTTGCCGTTATATTCATTTTTGATAAGTTTAGGCCATATCTTATAGGAATTAAAGTCATAGTACATATTGATCACTCTGCCATTAAGTACTTAATTGATAAAAAAGATGCAAAGCCTAGGCTTATTAGATGGAAATTATTGCTATAAGAATTTGATTTGGAGGTAAAGGATAGGAAGGGTACTGAAAACCAAGTAGAAGATCACTTGTCTAGGCTAGAGAACAAAAATATTTGTCACAATATGAAGGATATTCAAGAGAATTCCCCTGACGAGAAAATTTTATTTGCCATGGTATGCTTAAATAGTTCACTTTCTTGTTAGTGGTATTATGCTTCCAGATTTATCTTGCCAGGACAAGAAAAATTTTACACACGATGTACGTCACTATTATTGGGATGAACCATTCCTATTCAAGTATTGTGGAGACCAAACCATCGAAGGTGTATCCCTAAAGAAGAGCACAAAGAGATCCTATTTTATTTCCACACATCCCCGTTTGGAGGGCATCTTGGTGGGATGAGTATTGTTGCAAAGGTCCTCTAATCTGATTTCTAATGGCCCACCTTATTCAAAGATGCACACGAATTCTATAAGTCATGTGATAATTTCCAACGCACTGGGAACATATCGAAGAGAAATGAGATGCCATGGCTGACATTTTGGAAGTTGAACTATTTGATGTATGAGGGATCGGCTTTATGGGACCCTTCTCATCATCATTTGGTGATCTATACATACTTTTATGATAGAATATGTTTCCAAAATGGGTTGAAGTCATGGCCACACCTCGTAATGACTCCAAGACCGTGCTGAAATTCTTGCACAAAAACCTATTCACTCATTTTAGAGCACCACGAGCAATTATCATTGATGAAGACACTCACTTCAACAACAAATTAATTGGAAAGACGTTGAAGAGATACGGGGTGCGCCATAGAATTGCAACGATATACCATCCCCAGACTAATGGGCCAGCTGAGGTCTCCAATCATGAGACCAAGTATATTCTTGAGAAGGTGATCAACCCACAAAGATTGGTCACCGAAGCTAGATGAGGCATTGTGATCCTACCGTACAGTATTCAAAACGTCACTCGAAATGTCCCCATTCAAGTTAGTATAAGGTAAGGCATGCCACTTTCCCGTGGAATTGGAATATAAAGCTTTTTGGGCCATCAAAAAACTAAATATGGATGCACAACTTGCTGGAGAGAGAAGATTATTGGAGCTAAATGAGATGGACGAATTTAGAGCTCATGCGTATGAAAATGACCTCCTTTACAAAGAAAAGACTAAAATATGGCATGACATAAAAATTTTGCATAGGCAATCTTTTCCTGGACAACAAGCACTACTCTATAATTCAAGACTCAAGCTGTTCCTAGGCAAGGTGAAGTCTAGATGGTCAGGACCGTTCACTGTACATCAAGTGGATAACCACGACGCAATAGAAATCAAGAACATGGAAGATGAGTCTACCTTCAAAGTGAATGTTCAATGACTCAAGACGTACAATGGAGCACCCATTATGCGTGATAAATCAGTTTCGTTACTCAACGATGCCTAAGAGTTTACCCCTCTTTCCTGAACAAATTTTGTTGCGTAGGCAACAATAATTTGCACTATATACATAAATAATTTGTTTTAATTTGCACGAGTTGTTTATTTCTATTTTAATTTTAATTTTGTCACTTTTACTAGAAAGGGTACACGTGGAAGCATAGGATTCATGCTCACACATGTTAGAAAGTTAAACCCTAAAATTAATACAGTTTTGGCAACAATTTTAAGATGGAAACAAATATCATTCCCATTATTTTATTATTTTTGTCAACTCACATATCTTTCCCTTTAATATCATATCTCATTTCCCTTGAACTTTTTACCGATTTAGCCTCAAGAAACTGCCCACTGCATACCTTTTTCCTCCAAAACCGCCTACCTCTATCTTTTACCTTTCACCGTTTCTTTTTACTTTTTCTCCATATTTTCTTTTATTTTCATTGATTTTTCAACCTCCTAAAACCCTCTATAGATGGAACAAAAATCACTTTCTTTCTCCATTAAAATCTGTTGATCATGCTTGCTTGAAGAAGAATCCTGATGCCTCTATATCATTCGTTATGGCTACATGCTTCTAGTGCTTCTAAATCGCCGAGGCCGAGGCAAAATTCAAAGCCCTGTGGAACTGAGAAGTTTACTTGGAGGAAGACTTTGTCTTTCCTGAGACTGGAAAAGAACCATTTGGGCCGTAAGTAATGGACATTTTTGGAAACATAAGTGAGAGAAATTCACCCGACACCAAAAATCGGTGGCACCATCCATGGTCCAAGAGTTTTATGCCCATCTAAGTGACCCATCCTAGCACACTGTGCACGTTAGAGGGAAATCCATATGCTTCACTCCCTCGGCCTTAAACCGCTACTTTAAGTTAGGCAAGGTGGAAAATCATCATAAAAATTTTCTTACCGAGGTAAATTCAAAGACATACGATGGTGTACAGGAGGATTTGTCGTTTTGCTGGGCGAAGTTTGAAGGGATTGCTCCCAACTGAAAGCATGTAGACTGTCGAGCCCTAAAGCCAATCACCAAATTGTGAAACCACTTTTTAAAAGGCAAGTTGATGTTTACCTTGCACAACACGACATTATTAGTGAGGTGCTTAATGCTACTCCACTCAATCATCTAGGGGCGTGTGATCGATGTGGGCGAGATAATTTTCAAGTAGATTCACGAGTGTGCAAAGTAAACCCAAGGTAATATACTTTTTCCCAATTTAATCATCGCTTTATGCTAGAAGAAAAAATTCCCTGAGGAGTCTATTGAGTAATTTATCAAGTTAAAGGAAGGCATCACCAAAAAGAAGGTGCCCGAGCTTATGAGTTTTGATGATAACGCTTTACACAAGACCAAAAAGAAGGGCCTGGACCGAGCAACAAAATCAATTGTCGTGGTAAGAATGACAGTCGTGGTCATATACACTTGAGAGACACAAGAACAGCTAGAATGTTTGGAAGGTCACATGCAAAACTTCTTCAAGTATTTTAAGGAGCAAGATGCCCAAATGAATGTTTTCTTCAAGGAACTGCTTCAGTTGCCAATGAAGACCTGCCACCTTTTCTAGATGAAATCCTGCGCCAATCGGTCCCTACAAGTGACAATCCATTTTTTTCCTAGGCACAACATGTTCCACCCAAGTCCCCAATAGATGTCACTCCTCTTGCTATGCACATCTCTCCCATCCACAAAGTAAGCCATGGCTAAACCGATGACTATAACAACTCCTCATCTTCATCTTCTGAGCATACTCAATAAAAGGCCTCGGCCACAAATTTTATTATCACAGTCCTTGATCAGCCTACTCCTAAACAATCATCTGAACAACAACCAGATCTCAATACTGAACCGATTATTGACCCTGAAGCAACCCAACCACAAGATGTCCCTACTGAACCCTTACGTACTAAGGAGATGCCATCACTAGCAAGTACCCAGATGACAAGTCGTCGCCTCAAGTGCACAGCGGGTTGTATTATATTCCATCTCTATCCGAGCTTCCTTAATATAACAGTGGGAGCTCCCTCCTCTCAAACGACGTAGAGCTCGCATATCCAGTTGAGCCTCTCCACCATAATGCGGTACCATTCTTGTATTTTTATTTCCATCTGCATTATCATGTAATTTTCTTTGCATTCATATTCATGCATTGAGGACAATGCACCCCTCAAGTTTGGGGGAAGTATTGTACTCCATCCTTAGGATAATTGCATTTGATAATAATTAGTTGAAATATTTTTTTCATGGCATGAGTTTCATTAGGATAGTTGTTGGAATAAGTTGAGGATGCCAGATGATGAAAGTAAATTTTATTCCCTAGGCCAGAATTATTTCACGACTGTTGAAGGATAGAGCCTACCCTAGGGCTTGATGCTTTGTGATCTTGTAACACGATTGTATGTTTTCTCTGCTTAAGGTGTTTAGAAAATTTTTAGGGAAGAACTTTTTGCGCTTCGTGGCATTAAATGGTTGAAAAGATTATGTCAAACTCCTTAATGTTTTGAATTGTGTTGAATTGAAAATAAATGCCTCGACATAACTATAGAGGGACACTCATCTATATTGGCATAACCTGGAATATTTCTTAAATAAATGGTTTCTTTAGCATATGGGTGAATGAAAGTAGTCACGGGATGTTGACTCCCTTTAGGCATGTTGTTTAAAGAAATGAAAACATAAAGTATAATTCAATAGGATTGAAACTATTCTTAGTGAATTATTTGATGCTTTGGCAAAACAGAAGAACTTTACTTAGGAGTTTTCTAAATACGTTAAAACATAGAATAGACACAATCACACACACACTAACAAAGAGTCTTGACCTAGGGAAATGTGCTTAAATTCTCGTACAGTTTAGCATGTTGAGGCTAAACTTTTTTCTGAGGGCTGAAATTTTTAAACCACATGATTGTCCTAATTTTTACTTTGCCGTGACACTTAATCTTTTTACCGTTTATTATCCATTGCTTGAGGACAAGCAATAACTTAAGTTTGAGGGTATGATAAATCCGTAAAAGATATTGTTCTTGGTCTTTTAACTTAGGTTATTGTTTGCCTAAAAGTCATTTGCCATATCATTTTTTTTCATATAGTTGCATGTAGTATATATTTGCATGTGATGGATAAGTTTTATCGAGGCAAACTTTATTTGGTTTAATTGATGTTGGTGAAGAGGAAGGTTGTTTGTTGGTTGTGTTGATGCAAAAAATGAGGAAGGAGGAATTTATTTGCCAAGATAAAGGAATTCTCCAGGGCTAGAGGAACACAAGAATACGACAGTGAGGAATAGATTTTCTTGCCAAGGCAGATTTATCTTGCAAGTCTGAGTGGCTCAACAAGACTGCTGATGTCACTTTCCCATCTTTATTCTCATGTGTAATCATTCCCTCATCAGGGAAATTGACCACTTCTAGCTGCTATGTCATTTATAAAACGAGTATGTCAACGAGGGTATTTAAGGAATTTCTGTGGGCACTAAACCTTAGAAATTCCCACTATAAATACCCCATTATATATTTTCAAAAGGAGACACAATCAAGGAGAGAATATACCCTAGGCTTGGAGTAAGCGGTTGTAGCACCCTATCTTTGCACAGTTCACACTCGACAATCCTTGGTTCCCTTCATAACTGAGCTTCATCAGAGCAGCGATCAGGCCCTCGAGAGAGGCTGGCCGCTGGAGCAGGCGTAGTGGTGGTAAAAATGTCACATCAGAGCTCTTATTTTGGGAGTTTTTCTTCCTTTGTTCTTCATCTTCATATCATGTTAAGGAATGTACTTAAAGAATGATTTTTGGATAATATTCACTGCACCATGAACTATTTACTTGGTGTTGGTTATTTTTTTGTTGAAATATTATTTGCTTGTTAATGAATGATACAGTTTGTTTATGCTAATTGTTGTTTTGTTCAGTTTTTAAATATTTTACCTTGACACTGTAAGAGCTTTTGAGAGATTCCCTGGTGCCTCGGCAAAAACGTTCCTAGAATTTGTAAGAGATTTTGAGAGATTTCAATTTTTCTAGGAATTGATACCTAATATCGAGAGAGTTAGGGTATATCTACGTGAACAACAGAACCAATCCGAGATGGTGAGGTTCTAATCTGCCTTAGAGATAAGGAGAGGGTTTCATTTAACTAAAAGGGATAAATACTTGATTAAGATAGACAAAGACTACATTTTACGCTGAGGGGTATTGCCACATCAACATTTTGACAAACCAAGGGTTGTAGCTCATGCCTTGAATTCTGTAGTAATCCTATCGGGCAACCTAAGCATAGCGCACCAAATCACTCTTAGCATAAAATAACTTATTACCGTAGTAAAACCAACCTAAGTGCTCAGTAAGAAGTCTGATTGTGTGAGGTTTTCTGAATATATCGAACTCAACATTTTTATTTGCTAAGACAACTTTTATTTGTTTACCTTTGCATATTTTTATTACCTTATCCAAACTTTTCTACACACCACACATTACAATATTTCCTGCCTTGATAATGCATTTCCATCTGTTTATACCATTTAATCCCATTTGCTTTCATTTTTGATAAGAACAGTAGGACTAGCTTGTGACACCTAGTTCTAGCTGTAGCAAAACATCAATAATTCCCACCAATCCCTATGGAAACGATACTCAACTTACTACTATATTACTTGCATCGATTGTGTACACTTGCACAAATTTGATTTCCTTAGCGTATACATTTACAAACGATTACCCACTCCTTCTGAGTGTTACAACTTTGCACCCTAGATAGCCTCAGAAATGCCTCGCGCACTTGTTTAGATATATCCATATATTCTATCCAATAGGATGATCATCATCTGATAAAGTAACTTGGGAGTCTTAGTTTTTTCCCGAGCATCAAAGAAGGCCAGTTTTATGTTATCCTATATGATATTGTTTCTATTTGTAATTGTAATTATCATAGTTCCCACTTGTATT